CAAAAAGCTGGAAATTATTATGAGCTCTAGATAAAGTGTCTCACGTAATGTTCACAGTAATAAGCATGAACTCGGCGTGTAAGCCATTTTTACAGATAAAATCAATCTGAAATTAAAATGCCTTAGCTTCAATACCTAAGAGGGCCCTTCAATTCTGAACCCCAGTAGCCTAACTACAAGGCCACTGCATTTCATCATCACAACAATGTGCTTTCTACCATGCCAGGGACTATAAGGGTTTATGAGGTGCATAAAATGGAACACATGCCCTCAAAGAATTGACAATCTGAGAATGGAATTGTGATGCACACTAAAAATCATAGTGTGTAGAAAAAATGGTGGGATTGTTGTTCTGAGACTTGGGGGAAAGGGGATTACAAGAGGAGAGTCAGCGGTTATGTAGATTTCTGTAACCACGGAGAAAATAAGATACAAGCAAACATCAGACAGGAAAATATGGTAAGACAAAGTCAAAGCACAGAATGTACTGATGCATTTTCCAAATTCGATATATTTATTATTGTCATCACTATCTGCCAATGTCACTTGAGGTGACTATATCTACCTTAAACTTATTCAATTGCCAGTGCAACTGATGAACCACAAATTTCCATCATAACTTGAAAAATTTGTCTCACCTCAAATTATTTTACCTCTGGCTCTATGCTTGGTTTTTATTGAAATTATTTTTATGAACACACCTACACAAAGTCCTACTGATTTGACTTTCAAAAGAAATAAACAATTTGTATTCTTTTGATGGGAACAATTTGTATGGAAATAAACAGACATTGTTTAGTAAAAATTGTGAAATATGAAAACAAAGTAGACTTTTTTATATTTTTATTGTTTAAACACAATGAAAAGGTAAGTAGGATCATTTTGAATCCACAATACATAAAAATCTCAATTAGTTATGGTCTACTTGTGCACTCCCTAAAAACATTCATTAACAAAACATAATTTTTTAGTGTACTGGATAAATATACCAGAAGAAATTGCAGAATAATGTTGGGTTGCCAAGCAACCACAGCTCTACTCTTTCTTGTTTGTGATCAATCTGGCTCATTCAACAAGCTTCCTAACATACTGCTGGAGAATTTCACTCAATTTGATTTTCGTGGGAAAATTATAGTGACTTTTGGTAACACAATAACACTTTCATTCTCCAAAGATAAACGTAGATGTTCTTTTGATCAGAGGCATGTGTTAATTCATTATTCTCTACATGGTGCTAATGAGAAAGCTATAATTAACTTACCACAAGATTGCAACACACATACAATAAACTGTAGCAATTAGTAATGTTTAAAGTGCAAACCAGCCCCCCGAATTAGAAAATGCAGACTCTTCCTTTTAAGAAATATATACAGAAAAGAAAAAACATCATATCTAATTAAATTGAGAATTGTTTCCAGTCCCTCCCAAGGGAGTGGAAAGACACGTGATCTCCAAAATGTGAGCGATTTCCCTTTAATAGCAGAGAACATGGCTCAGTGCCAAGTCTACTTGTAGGTAGGCTCCAAGTGCTGGCGAAAAAGGTAATCTTTTCTTTCAAAGAATGCTTAGCACAATATTTTCCAGGAATGAGAAGAAAGAATATTATGCTTTCACTCATTAGCTGTGTTAACTTAGCATATTGTATGTAAATCACCATAATAATTGCATTCTCTTCAGACTGAATTACTTAGGATGAAGCTGTAATCAAAATGTTCATAATTGAAAATACAGTATTCTCAGAGTTGGTTTGAAAAATAGCATGGAGCACTGATTGAATCAGAAAATGTAGTTTGCCAGTGCAAACAGCCTCTGTAGAAAGACAAGTTCATCCTCTTGATTACACCTGGACACGTTAATTAGTTCCCCAAATTCAGGACTCAACACCCTCCAATCTGTCACGTTTGCTGCTGCTGCCCTTTGTCTGGTGTCATAAGCATTTTTCCAAGTGCACGCTGCTCAGATTTGTAAAGGAAAACAGAAAACGGTGAAAAGTGAAATTTGTGTTTTCAGAGCAGATGACATCCTATCATAGTGTTGGCTGTCATCAATCAAGGGGCAAAATCATTTCCAATAAATAGAACATTTAGTGCCAGAGCTCCTGGGAAACAATATGTAAATGATCACGTGGATTTCAGACAAGCTGTCACACTAATTCCTCCAGGTCCCTTTAGAGATGACACAAACTCTGGAGGTGAGTGCTGCAAAGCTTACTGGGGAGCACTACTCCACTCTTGGAACTGATGCTCATAGCATCGTTTTTTTTGGGGGGGTGGTGGAATCATCCCTTCCAATCAGACATGAATTCCTCTCTGTTACTTTATTTCCCTTTATCAGTTAAAACTAATAGGTCAGCTCTTTCTTATTTCCTCAGAAAAATGGACCAGGCTAAATTATTTCAGCAAAGCAATTTTAGATCTGCCTTATCTCCTATCTTCAAATATTTTAGAAATAAATACAAAGGGCAGGTTTCTTTACAGATAATGCATTTCTCAGTGGACTATATTCCAATAGGAAATTCATAAAGATGTTTGAGATACTAGTATCTACCTGGCATGGTTGTCTAAAATCTACCAATGTATACACATATTTTAGTAAGGAAATGTTTTCTCAAAGATGATTTAAAGCGAGTTGCCTAATTTGGGAGGAGCGCATTAACACAAAGATACCACCCATTGTGGATGATATGAATTCGGATTGTACAGTGCCAGATAAGTAAGACTGATACAGCCATGAGGTGCTAGCAAGGAAGGAAGAGTTCTGCAAGTTTAAAAGCAAAATGTGTGTTAATCTTCATAGTCCTATGCTTCTATGGCAGAGGCACTTCCTGAAAAAGATTCTAGTCAGCTGCTACAGCCAGTACCTGCAACGGCCAAGAAACACCATCTATCTTTGTGCATCAGATGTCAGTTACTCGGGAGCATTCAAGTAATGGCAGCAGGACACTTTGCCTTAGGAGAGATGAATCATCGGAGCACTGAAGACCCTGAGAAGGACGATCCAGGTATATATTAGACTCTACAGCCAAATTAAATTGTCAAGGCCGTAGATGGGTGCATCACAGAGAGACTGAAACTGAGACAAGTCTAGCTCAGCATGAGCAGATGAGACAAGAGCTCAAATCCTAGATGGAAAATTGAGGAAGAAATTGGATTTTCTTGTCACCAGCTTTTTTTTCAGGGGCCGCTTTCTGCCCCCGTTCAGAACCAGACTCAGCCAATCTAACAATTGCTCAGTTTTCTCTTTCAACCTGCTATAAACAAGATTTACGAATTGAACTGGTTATTAATACATTTTACAAATATTATTTTCTAAAATTAGAAAATACAGAATTCTGCCCTCCATAAAAGTACCGAGAAACGATAATCTACCATTTCGCATTAATTTGAGGATTAATTGTACCAGAAATACCATCTAGAACAGCTCACTTCTGAATGATTGTTATTCATCAGAAAAGGCAGGTAAACTGCCCACCTTGAATAATTTCAGTCCAGTCTTCCAACTCAAAATGAGATGTATTGATACCTATTGTTTAAAGAGGGAAACTGAGGCATGACGTAAATGACACTGATTCACACATCCCAGAGGAGGTTGAGCTAAAATTCCAAACCAGATGAACACTCCAGGAGACTACCTTGAAGTACCTGCAAGAGTTACCTAGCTCTGCTCCTACACCTTCGCGCACGCCCTATCTCCCCCTTTCCCTAGCCTAGCTTCATCCGGAGCGTGCTTTTGTGCACACACCTTCAGCTGGCTGCCACTAGCAGGCTCTTCGCAGTTCTGGCCAGCGGGGCGGTATTGATCGCCTTTCTCCCTGGGCTGAGTTAGGGGCTACCTCCCGCCCCAGGTGCACAGGACCACGCACACCTGCTAGTGCTTGGTGGCTAATCAGTACTCGCGCCCACCCTCTCCGCCATACCTCAGACCACCCGCCCAGCTCCCTCTGGATGCACACTGGGCTCCAGTACCTGGACCGTGATGCTGCCGCTCCTCCCGCCCCAGATTTTTCGCAGGAATTCCTCAGCCTTTCCCCCTGGCTGAGAAAGTGAGGTTCTTAGCAGCCAAAGGGAGTGGGGATGGAGAAAACGACGTTTTTCCCCCCTATCCTCTCGGCTCCAATCCCAGCTCTCCAAATTAATCACTTGCTCCCTGCTCCCTCCCCATGTACACTTTCACTCAAGGGAGGAAAAAGGCGAGAAAGACAGAGACAGAGAAAGAGGACAAGGGGAGACACAAAGAGGAAAAGGGGACTGTCCATGACTGGAATCCCCAGCTCCCCTGCTCGGTTACCAGGGAGTCATGGCAACCAGCCCCCCCCCCCCCATTGCCGGCTTGCCCTCTCGCCCCCACCGCGTTCTGTTGAGGTGAAATGCTCTATGCCTCTATCTTTCCCAAACCCGGCGGTTCACAGATCGCTCATCCCAGGCTGGAGGCATTTGGGGACCGCCACTGCAACCAAGAATTATCTCTAGGGACTAGCAGTTAGATAGGGGCTTTAGGGCCGGGGTGAGAGAATCTGGACCTCCAAGACCTAGAGGTGGACAGTGGAGAGACGTGGAGGACTTGCCCCCCCACCCTTCTTCCTCCCAGATGGCTACAATCTACAGGAGGGTATGCATCCTCTCCAGAGGGTAAGGAAGGGGGCGGTGGCTATGTAGGAAGAAACAGGTCAGCCTACGGAAGGTTGAGAGCTTAAGGGTGCGGGGGTCCTGGAAGATGTTTACTACATCCAGTGACCTGGAGCTGTCAAAAATCCAGCCCTAATCACCTGCGTCGGAGGTGCTAGGAAAGGCGGCGCCTCTCCCCAGGTTAGGGAAGGGACCTCGAGCCACTCCCATTTTGGGCAAGGATGGAGTCCTGGATCGTGCACCATTTCCCTTTCAGAAGAGTTGCTCTTTTCCCGGGAGCAAGCCCTTGATTTTCCATCACCTCGCTCAATGAGTTGACGAAAAGACAGATTGAGAGAGCCCCATTCCTAGCAAGGCACGCGCAGATATACTCACCTGAGCCTCCTCTGACGTCCGGTCTATCGGGCACCTTCCCTTGGGAAAACTTCTCCTTAAGCTGGCTCACAGAGGCAAAGGGGACTAACAAGGTCCAGAGCCTCTGGGTGGATCCAGGGGAGTTTCTAGTTGGACGCTCTCCGCTGATCCACACCCCGGTCTGCCCACAGAGATTCCGTCTGTCCCCTCTTGCTGTTGGCACAGGTCTCCAGAAGGCTGAACCTGTTCGAGCTTGCACCGGTATCCACGCCCTCCTACGAGAGACTGGCTTGCGCCTCTCCTCCGCTGTCCCCCGGATCTGCTCTGCCACCCCTCACCCACACAGCTTCTTTTCCCTCCCTTTTACACACTCTCCCTTGGGACAAGAGAGAGTTACAGGCTTTAGATTTTGGTTTTATGAAAAGCAGGGAACAAAGACAAAACTTTGCTTGTCGTTTTCAACATCTCGAAGCCAAAAGAGGCAGAATCGCTGCGGGGTTTGCTTGCCAGCTAGAAACCAAAAAGAAATCCCTCCCCTCTGCTGCATCTCCCACCCTTCCGCGTTCAGATTCCACACACAGGCTTCCAGTCTGTTTTACCCCGTTGCTGCAAGGTGGAGGGTGTGGTGCCTTGTACCTCTTTTAAAAATATCTTGCTGGTTTTACTTCCTCATTGGGTGGTGAGGGTTGATGGAACTCTCAATTTAATTTACAAAAGAGGCATCTCCAGTAGCTGTCAAATCAATCAGTGCAGGCATAAATCTAAAGCGCTTCTACTGATATCTAGTGTACAGTTTGTGCACCGCTACCATCTGTACTTCAACAAATTGGCCAGTGACATTTTCTTATTTACTCTCTATTAATTCAATGTGACGGAATAAAGCTTTCTTTGCTCACTCCCTGTGCAGAAGTCCATTCCTGGTGCCTTATCTATCTCTCTTTACCGATAAACAGGATGTTTGTTTCAGAGATGCACTATAGGGAAGTTACAGACATTGGCACTATAAGTGGTGTGCACACTCCTTCATTTTTCATGAACACACTGGTGAATATACCCAAATGTTCACTCAATATTGCTTTAAAAATATCCTGTTGCATCTAAGTGCTCTTTGATGGTAATAGAATTACTGACTTCTAACTTTTCCTCTGCTGAGGCTGTGAGATTGATCTTACAGTCCTGTTCTTGTTCTCCTCTAGTGCACTAAACAATGAGTACATTTATTGCTGTGTGCTACCCTCCAAGTCGGATGCCCCTACAGGGATCAACAAGAAGGAAGGGGACTCAAGAGTTGGCCTCAGAAGCACTTGCCTCAAATATCTTGGAATGAATAAATGGGCGTTTCCATGTTCATAATTGATAACCTGGAGGCCTCAATGCTGCCAGTTCGTGTGTGGGCCCAATCCCTACTGCCTGCAAGTGAGGGCAGGATGTGTCCTAGGTTTAAATTGTGCTACTGGAGTGATTCCACTGCCCGAGGCATCATTATTCATGCCGCATGTTTTTGAAAGTAGAAACAAAGAAAACTGAAATAAATTCCAACAAGGAAAGGACTGAGGCTGTAGGAAACCATTTCTTAGATTTAGGAGCCCCGAGAGAAACACAAAGCCAAGTTGGTCTCAAATTTACCACCTTCTGGGGTGGCATTTCCTGGGCAAAAAACCTGAGAACTCTATTTTGGCGAGAGTAACAGAGATCTTTTAAAGATTCAGCTTGCCTTTCATTGGTTATTTGTTTGCGTGACACATTACATGGGCAGGCAGATTATAAGTAAAAAGATGGTAGATAGATAGATAGATAGATAGATAGATAGATAGATAGATAGATAGACACATTTGAAGAAAGGTGAGGGAAAGGAGAGAGGTATGATTTTCCAGTTTGCTTTGTGTTACTAAACAATTAAACTGAATTAAAAAAAAAGATTACATCTTTCTAGCTGAAATGTCCTAAACTATATTAGGTGATACTAAAACACATTACCCCAAATAAAAAGATAAAGTGTCAATCTTTTATAAGTGTTCAGCTTACACACACACACACACACACACACACACACACACTTCTGAGTCTTGGATACTACATAAAGCTGCATATAGACTGGAACATTGATAATTGCCTGTGGCCAACTGGAAACTGTAATTAAGTAAGCATATAGTAACTCACTTTACCCTAGGAAACCAAACTTTCGGGAAGAAAAAGAGGAGGGAAAATGCTTAGAGAAAGGAAGAGAGGGAAGGAGAGATGGAAGGAGGGGAAAATGGAGGGAAGGAACGAGAAAGTAAGAGACTATTTTTTTCAGAGGTGTGCTAAGTAGAAGCAGGTACCTTTAAATATCTGTATCCAAGAATTACCTCAGAGCTACGATCTATAACAGGCTTTTCTTTTGGGGGGCATCAGCTAGCTCCCAAATCATGACACAGAGACTTATTATTAGTTTTAAATGTTCAACCTTTGCTTAGACTTGTTTTGTATTCGCTCTTATACCTTAACATGTTTCTTGGCATCTATGTTTTGCCTCAGGGTTTTTTCTTCCTTCCTTCCTTCCTTCCTTCCTTCCTTCCTTCCTTCCTTCCTTCCTTCCTTCCTTCCTTCCTTCCTTTCTCCCTTCCCCCTCCCCTCGCCCCCCTCTCTCTCTGTCTCTCTCTCTCTCTCTCTCTTTCTCCCTCCCTCCCTCCCTCCCTCCCTCCTTCCCTCCCTCCCTCCTTCCTTCCTTTCTGTATATCTTATTTTCCTGTTGTCTTTATGTCTGGCTGGCAGCTACCTGACTTCTGGGCCCTAGGTGTGTCCATCTCGTTCTCCCATGTTCTCTTCTTCTCTCATTCTTCTCCTCTCTGGAGTCTAGATTTCTTCTTCTACGTATTCCTTCTACCTGCCAGCCTCACATATCCTTCTTCTGCCTAGCTACTGGCCATTCAACTTTTTATTAGACCAATCAGGTGCCTGAGGCCAGCAGGGTGAACCAAATGCAACACATCTTTACATGATTAAACAAATGCAGCACAAACAAGTGTAAATCTTTACGTCATTAAACAAATGCATTATAAACAAAGGGTTATATCATTCGCAAAGGTAGCAGAAACAAATGTAGCACACCTATACAGAGTTAAAGTAATATGCCTCAGCAGAAACAAATGTAAAATATCTTTGACTAGTTTAAATAATATTCCACAACAATGATCTCTGCATGAACCCATAGTTCTCTATGCAGTAGCAAATGCAAGTAGCACAGTCATGCTTGCTGGCCAAAGTGACAGCCTCCAGCAAGTCTGGAACCAGAAGACAGTCTTCATGCAGAGTGAAAGGCTGTGAAAGGTACCTTCTGCTGCTGCTTTGAGCCTCTCCCCTGGCTCCCTCTCTCCTGTCTGACACTTCTCCACTCTGCACACCCCCCTAATCTATAAGAGATGCAGGGGAAACACTACCTTTTCACAAGTCACGCAGAAATCTGATCACATTAGCTTCAAAAGGTGTGAATTTTCTCTCTTGTGATGGATGAAGACCCTGCCAATTGAAAACACTACTACTGGACCACAAAGGAGGGGGGATGGGTTTTTCTCATAAACAGAAGCAGAAGGTGAGAGAGATAGGCCAGTGGACTGGAAAAACACAAAAGATATCAAAAGCTCAGGCATTTTTCTGCTTTTCCTTCTGATTTACTGCCTATCCTCTGCCTGAAGCATCATTTGGTATCATTCCCAGTGCTGGGGCTATTGCAGGAGTATTGCCTTTTGGCAAAGCCAAGCAGCTAGAGATAATGGCATCATTCCTAGAAAAATTGTTTAGTGGAAGAGTTGTAGTGTTGGAAATGGCACTGCAGTCTAGCAGTTCCCAACAGTCACAGATCGACTGGGATTTTCTGGCCAACTGCTGTAATAAAAGGAAGGCAGGATGTTCCTCTGAGGAAAAGATCCTTCAAAGGCAACCTTGGAGACACAAAGCAGCCTCCTTCAGGTTAGAAACTAACAAAGCTGAAGACCAGAACAGTGACTCGGCAGAACCACAAAGAGCCCATATTCCTTTAACTTATCCTTTCATTCGTGAACAAAAGGACATGTATTAAGAATCAAAGGACAATAATTCTGAGACAAATAAGGTAAACCTCCCCTGTTTCATGCTATGGATCATTAATATATGTAATCTGGCCCTAGGAACTCATAGACTCTGATATGATTAGTGAATTTTTTAAAGGGCCATGAAATTATATGGCCATTAATAACCTTATCCTCTGGAACTAAATCAGCAGTAGGTGCTACCAAATCTTACAGTTTGGGTATTCAGTGACTACTTCTGCATATCAGTAAGATGTCCAACCCTCCAATCAGAAATGTCTGACATGACTAGGCTGCTGTGCTATTCGTGGTTGCTCCAAAGTCCTGTTTCATCAGAATTCATTTCAAAGACCTGCAAACTGTATTATAGGGTAGTTTTTCAGTTGTTGAGAGAAGTTCTGGTATTTTTAAATGATGGAAAATTTATCTACACCCCTCCATTTCCAATGTAATAAAAACCAAACCAAAACACAACATTTTATCCTGGTAAAATATTTACCCATAGCTTCCTTTTATATTTGCTGATTGTATAGTTCAGAAATTATTTTCAAAGTTATACGGGTGGTTAGTGGATTAGGATATAATGATAAACATCACCCAATTTTTGGTGTCATGCCATTTAAGAATATAACAAAGCAGTTTAAGGTAATATTATATATCTCAGTTCTGTTGTAGGAAACAAGACAAAGAAAGGAGAGGGGCAAAATATGAATGATGGTCTCAGAAGAGACAAAATAGTCTTACTTCCTCATTGTCTTTTATTTTGTATTACTGATTTTAAAAATAGGTTGGAGAAAAAGTAAATACCAAATAGATTTGATTAACATAAAGTTTGTAGAAAACATTGACTGTTCCCCAATATGTTGTTAGTTTATTTTTGGTTAAATGGCTACCTACCAAGTGGATGATTAAGTTGGGCTTTATGTTTAAATTCTTACTAAAGAGACACAAAGAAAAACAGATGATTTCAGATTATTCACTAAAAGATAATGCAGACTTACTCTTTTAGTTCTAGTTATGCTGAGGATTACAAAGAGACCTCATTAACCTAAATCCCTAAACTGCAATGAACCAGTCTACTTACTAACATGAAATTTTGAACATTTCTTTCTTTAAGCCAGTCTCTCAGAGTCCCTTTTATGTAACAACATAAACTCTAAGTAAGACATCTATAGCTTTTATTATGAGAATAATTTCAGAAGTAAATCAATAATGGCTTACCATGAATATTTCTTGGTTTTACTTGCCCAGTTCATTTACAGTCATTCAATTTAACCAACCCTAGGAAAACATCAACCATGTTTACATGGCTGGGCTAAAGCTATCTCCAATGTTCCCTTTCTTTCTTTTCCTTTCTTTCTTTCTTTCTTTCTTTCTTTTTTTTAAAATTTTTTGAGACAGCTTCTCTGTAGCTTTGAAGCCTGTCCTCCTGGAACTTGCTCTTGTAGA